TCTAGTGTTTCTAGGAGGCGAGCACGCAGGAACTCTGCCGCAGGGGCAGGGTGACCTTTCTCTGCCATCCTCTCCAGGGACCTCACAGCTCCCCATCCTGGTGGCCATCGCTGGTCCTTCCACTCCCAGCGCCTGCCCTTTCCTGGACCTTGGAGGTTAGGGGGTGGGGATTAGGGGGTGTAGGGGGTGGTACTCACCGGTGTTGCTGGAGGCGGCGAGGCCGGGGTCGCTGTGTGACCGCGGCAGCAGCAGCGGCGGGGGCGCCGGGTGGCCAGGGGGCCGGTGCCCGGGCGGCGTGAGGGACCCTGAGCTGTCGCTGAAGCGGCGGGCGGGGGCCCTGGCGGGCGGGGCCGCGGCCGAGCGGCCTGCCCGGGGCACCCGGCGCCGGAGCTCGGGGAAGCAGGGCGCCACCCAGGGCGGCCAGGCCTCCAGGCGGTGGCAGCTGCGCGCGGCCGCGGGGGCGCCCAGCGCGGGGGGCGCCTCGGGGGCGGAGCAGGAGTGCGAGCGCGCGGCGCGCGGCGGCCGGGGCAGCGGGCTGTCCTCGAAGGGGCCGCGCAGGCCGCAGTCCAGGCTGAGGCAGTAGCCGGCGCGGCTGCGCTGGATGGAGCGGAAGAGCACGTAGTCCACCGAGCGCACCGAGCCCTGCAGCTCCAGCAGGCACGAGTCCTCGGACGGGCTGGAGCCCCCCGGCAGGTCGCCGATGGCCGACAGCACCAGCGACCCGCTGTCCATGGACACTGTGGGCGGCAGGGGCATGGCTGGCACCGGCCCGGCCCGGGCGGCTTCCCTCTGTTCAGGCCCAGCCTCTGGGGGACCCGCTGCCTCTTTTCTCCAGGGAGACTGAAGTCCAGGGTCCCAGGAAGCCACTGCCCTCGCTGATCCACACACTCAGCCTTGTCCCCCCTTTTTCGCTCCCACCTGGCTCTGCTACCCCGGGCAGCCGGCCCTTGTCCATCCTCCCCACCGTCTGCTCACCATCCACAATGGAGGCCACTCGCTCGCAGATGCAGGAGCCATCGTGAAGCTGAGGGTCAAACAGAGTGGCCTGAAGAAGACACAAGGGTCACAGGCCTAGCTCTGCACACCGACAGGGCCACCCCCATGTGCTGGACAGAGCTGTGGACGGTCTAGGTTCCAGTCCCTGTGCACATGTCACTGAGGGGGCCTCTGTTTTACGGAAATAATGGCTCCCACCCCACCCATCTCCCCGGGCTCCAGGGACGGTCACAGATGGCAGTGGGTGTGTTCGTGCCATAAGATCCTGGGAACTATTGTTATTATTTTTAAAAATATATTTTATTGATTTTCCACAGAGAGGAAGGGAGAGGGACAGAGAGCTAGAAACATCGATGAGAGAGAAACATTGACCAGCTGCCTCCTGCACCCCCCCCTCACCGGGGATGTGCCCGCAACCAAGGAATCGAACCCGGGACCTTTCAGTCCGCAGGCCGACACTCTATTATTCACTGAGTCAAACCGGTTTCAGCTGGGAACTATTGCTATCTGTGTCCAATGACTGCGGCTCACTCAGCGTTCCTGCTCCAGCCCTGGCTCCCGGGCCCGCACCGAGCCCTGCTCTCACCTGGCTGTCTCCTCGGAGCCCCATCACGGCCTCATAAGAAGGGGGGCAGTCAGTAGGGTACAAGGGCACTGGGCTGTCCATGGAGCCATTGTAGGTGATGCTGTGGAAAGAGGGGGAGGGGAGAAATCGGGGAGGACCATTCCACAAAGATCCTCCCCACCAATCAAGGCTGCAGCCAGAGCCCCCTCCCCCTGCCTTCGCTTCCCTGCCGGAGCCGCCAGGCCTCACCTCTGGGCATCTGTTTCAGAGCTGCAGGTGTACTCCGGGGGGTAGTAGGGTGGTGGGGGCACAGGTGGTACAAATTCCTCCAAGTCCAGCATGGTGTGCAGGAGAGGGGCCGGGGGCGAGGAGGTACAGGCCAGAGGCCCCAGAGGACCCGAGACCGAGCGGTCAGGGGCCAGCTGCTGGGGGGCAAACAGAACCCTGGTTTCAGGTTGTTGGGCTCCCAAACTCCTGGCCTCATCTACATCTTCTGGCCCCGCCCTCAGGGCGGCTCAGCTTGGCCCCGCCCCCAGCCAGAAACAGCCCCGCCCCTAACCCGGCCTCCACCCGGGACCTCCAGGCAGGCCCTGCCTACCTGAAATAATTCCTCCTCCTTATGACCCCATCTACACCCAGAATCGCCACCTGCTCTGTCCTCACCAGCACGTCAACCCTTCACCCCCATCACCACCCCCACCCCCACCCAGGACCTGCTTGACTCCGCCCCCCAGGCTGGCATCACACACTTTCTTACTCCCTGTCATTCCTCTCCTCACCCCCTTCCCCCACGGGCTCCCTTAACATCCTACAACAACAGACATTCCTGATGGGTGATCGCCAGCCCCTGGTGCTTAGAAGAATCACTATCACCACCCCCTCAACCCCAGTCCCAGCGCATGCACCCTGCCCCCCCTCCATGACACCTGCTTGGCCTTGACCCCGCTCCCCCTCACCGTGTGCATGAGGTCAAGGGAGAATATTTGGATGCAGCAGATGATTGCGGAGAGGGTGCAGATTATGGTGGCACAAATGGTGAGTCCGCAGACGCTGAAGAGCAGGTTCTGGGAAAGGAGAGAGAGAGGGATGTGTGAGGGGGATGGGTAACTCCCACATCCCCTGGGCCCGTGAGGACCCCAGGAGGGGGTGTGGTGCGGGAGAAGGGATCCGGGGAGCTGGGGGGGGGTGCATGCTCACCTTGAGGGCCCCTCGGGCTTCATCACAGGTGGAGTTAGGGGCAACTTTGAGTTCCTGCCCTGACTCTGGGCAGGGCCGGAGGAGGGGCACAGGGGGGCAGCACACACAGACCTTTCCTTCCTGAGTGGCAGTGGGGAGGGTGAGACAGACTGAGTCAGGTGTCCCTCACTTCTCCCCCAACTCTCCCCCAACCGGTTCTCTCTGGCTCGCCCTCCTCACATCTCACCATGGAGCAGTGGCGGAAGTCTCGGGCCAGCTGAGCATTCTTACAGGAGAGAACAGAGCCAGCCATGCTGAGCATGACACACAGCACCGAGAGCAAGGAGAAGAAGGAGATCTGGGGGAACAGGGTGCGGATCAGGGCTGGGGTGCTCAGGAGTGGGGGCCACCGAGGAGGGAGCCACCCTCCCTCACACTCATCCGTGCCCGGGGGACCGGAATGGGAGAGCCGGTTCCCTTCTCGAGGGCATAAACGGGCATCCCCTCTGGTGCCGGGCACCTGCCTCCCCGTGGACACCGGACCCTGGCACCTACCACTAAAGTGAATGGCCGCTTCCAGGACACAATGCCAACTACCCCGGAGAACGCCAGCTGGGGACAGAGTGGGCACAGGCTCAGCCTGGCAGGGGAGGCACCTGCGTGAGCCCCTCGCCACAGGGTGCACCCAGCCCTTTCCGGAGGGAGAGGGCCCGTAGGGGAGGAGAGGCCAGGATTTGAACCGGCAGCTGGGGTGGAGGGGTGGGGCCCGAGGAGCCGCCCCCACCCAACAACTGTGCACCCAACTCACCGAGAACCCAGCCCAAGACGGGCAGGACCTCTTGATGCTCTCGGTGGTGGTGACAGAGGAGGCCACCATGCTGAAGGTGACCACCAGGATGCCCAGCAGCACCTGGGCCAGCCCCAGCGTGAGCAGGGCCTGCAGCCAGGGTCGGTGGAGGCCAAGGTGGGTGAGGCCCCGGGTACTAGGCCGGCTGGTGAGCGAGCGGCTGGAGTCACTAGGCGAGGGCATCATGCCTGCCGCCCGGGTGCCTGCGCCTCGCTCGGCCCCCCCTGGCGCTTGGGAGCATCTCAGAGGAGCCCAGGGCCCCGTCCTTCCTCCTCTCCACACCACCGGCTCTAGAGCCCACCCCCTGGCTGGGTCCCCTGGGGCATGGCTCAGGGACTCCAGCTGGAGGGGGGGTCAGGGCAGGAGAGGCACCGAGGGGCCGCGGCGTGCTCCCTCCCCACCACGGGCACTGGATGGGCACCGTGCCCAGGATGGCGATGAGGGCGCTGGGACACAGGCTCATCGCATCTCCCTAGGGAAGAGGGGCGCCGAGAAGGGCAGGTCCGGGAGTGAGGAGAGGGCGTGGGGGAGGACGGAGGTCGGAGCCCAGGGAAGGATGGGGAAGGTGAAGTCCAGAGGATGGAGAAGAAGTCCGGGGGAGAGGGGAGGGGTCGGCAGAGGTGACTCTAGAGGGGCGGCGGCCGTGCCTCCGGAGTGTCCAGTGGGATCCAAGGCTGTTGGTGGGATAGGCCCGGGCACCGCCGTCTCCTGTCGCCAGCCCTGCTCCCCTCCCCGCCACGCTCCGCTCCCCGCCTCGGCTGCAGCGGGTTTGGAGGCAGGGGGTGGGGACGGGCTGGTGCGGGAGGAGGAGCGTGGCCGCGCGGTGCACGCCGGGAGTTGTAGTCCGCATGGGAGACCCTGCGGGGTGGGGCAGGAGCTGGCCACAGAGCAGGCGGGCAGGTGATGCTCTCCAGTTCCTGCCTCCGCCGGTACCCAGGCCCGAGCCCACAACCCTTTGGGCGCCGCTTAAGCCCCACCCAGCGTCTGTCCCCCCCACACCGCGCCCCACTGCGTTCTCAGCAGAGGCAGCGGCTCTTTCCGGGCCATTAATGGAAGGGTGGGGAGCAGGGCTCCCTGGTGGATCTGTGATTCCACGCCCAACCGTGGACGTCCCTCCTCCTTCCTGCTCCAGCCACCCTGCCACCCAGCTCTGCTGCCCCACCCTGACAGCTGGCAGCTCACCCTCTGGAATTCATACTCTGCCTTCACACCAGTTCCCTCCTCACTTTTTTTCTTTTTAAATCCTCACCCAGTATATTTTTTTCCTTTGATTTCTTGAGAGTGGACGATGTGAGAGAAACACATCGATTGGCTGCCTCCTGCATGCACCCTGACCGAAGCTCTATCCACTGAGCCAAACCTGCTAGGGCACTCTTTCTGTCCTAGTTCCCAGTAAACATTCCAGAAACAGGGATCTGAGTTCCAGTTCCACTTTCTTTTTATTTAAATAATTGAAGCAACAGCCTTGGCACAGCAGAGGGAAGCTGGGTGGGGGGAGTGTAAGGGGTTGGCAGCGGAGTGGCCTGATTGGGCAGTGGGGTGTAGGCAGAGCAGTGACTGGGTCACAGCGGGTTCCCCGACCCCTAAATCAGGTTCGGCAGCCACAGCTGCGGGGTCGGGGGCACGACACAGGAGACACCAAATAGTTCTGTCTCACAAGTCCCAGAGACCTCGGGCGGGGCTACGAGAGCCCCCAGGTGGCAGGGCCAGGGCATCCGTCGGGGTCACGGCCCCCGGAAGGCATTTTCAGCAGCCCCAGCGGCTGCGTTGGCAGCTGCGGTTCGCACCGCAGGATTGGAGAAGACACCGGCTGCGAATTCTTGCTGGGCCTTCTGGAAGCTGGCACCTGTGTTGCGGTACAAGGAGTGGATCTGCAAGTGGAGGACAGAGATATCATAGCACATCCCAGCCACTGCTACTCTGCTCCAGCCCCACACCGCCACCACTCCCAGCCTGCTGCTCTCCATTTCCCTTCTTGGACCCCCTCCAACACACACACACACACACACACACACACACACACACAGGTCCATTAGCTCAGAACCCGCCCATCAGCCTGGCCCTCCCCAGTTCCTCCAGAAAGTTCCACCCAGGCCCCTGGGGACACATGATCTCACTCTCCTGGCCCCACCTTTTCACCACAGCCCCTCACCCGCTTTAGCATCACGATTCCCAGCACGGCGATGCCAGTGAAGAACAGGGCGACCAGCAGCATGAGCACAGCTACAGCCGTGTTGGTCTTCAGCACCACCAGCGCGGAGATCCAGCCACTGGGAGGAGGGACAGGATGTGGCCGTGAAGAGGGCCTGCTCAGGGCTGGGTCTCTGCCCTCCCAGCTTCTCCGCCGGTTACGTCCCACACCAGCCCCATTCCCAGCCTCCCATCCACAGTCACACCTGTTAGTCTGGCAGCTTTCTGCGCACACATTCCCGAACTACATCCACTCTCTTCGTGGTTTAGATCCACTTTCTGAACTACTTCCCAGCTCTCCAAGCTCTTCCAGACATCCTCACTCTAAATTAGGGGTGTCGAACTCAATCAGAGAAGGGGCCAAAATCTAAAATCCAGCCTAAATCGCGGGCCGAATGGTTTACTGAACAGTCATAAACTGTCATTGTGATGGAAACGCAGCGGAGTGCAGTGATGACAGCGCAGTGCGGGCCACATTGCAAGGCCTGGCGGGACGGATTTGGCCCGCGGGCCTTGTGTTTGACACATGTGCTCTAAATAGACTCTTCTGGCCCTGGCTGGAGAGCTGTTGGTTAGAGCATCAAGGCTGTGAGTTCGATCCCCAGTGAGGACACATTCAAGAACCAACCAATGAATGCATAAATATATAGAACAACAAATCTCTCGCCCTCTAAAAGTCAATAAACTAAAATACAATAAAATAAACAGACGCTTCTGTAGAAGATTCTCCCTCTGCTCTTCAACCGTGATTACATACACCTCCTCCAGGAAGCCTTCTCAGATTGACCTTCTTCCCCTCAACCCATGTCTGCCCAGAGTTCTGTCTGGGCTCTCTCTGTCCTGGGAGAATGTCCTGTCTCTCTCCGTAAACCAGCACCTCGCAAGGATAAAAACCACATTTCCTCCTGCTGAACAACTCCCACCATGACCCTGACTTGGTCTAGAGGCCTGGGGGGAAGGGCTGAGGGAGACAGCAGGCTCACTGACCTGAACCCCCAGCCTGGGATGCCAATGGCCTGGAGGACAAAAAGCACATCCTGGGCGAAGAAAATGAAGAAGAAAACGAAGAAATTGAACGAACTATCGCTCCTGCGAGGAGAAAAACGGGGAGGGCGGGAGAATTAGTGCTGGAGGAGCAGGTAGCGGGGGTCCATTCAAACTTCCCCATCACCCAGCCCCCAGCTCACCGGAAAGCCTTGTACATGGGGCGGTACCAGCAGACGAAGGAGCAGGGAGTGAAGAGGATGATCCAGAGGATGGAGAGCCCAAAGCCTGTGCCCCCGCTGGTGTCCACGCAGAAGCTGGCAAGGCAGGCGAGGAAGTTCAGGAGAAGAGCCAGAGTGCTGCCTAACGGACGGAGGGACAGGATGATGACTCTTTCCGACCGCAATGAAAGCTCCTTCCCGGATAAGCCCGCCCGATGACCCTCCCCAAATGTTAAGGTGACCAGATGTCCTGATTTTTAACAAAAATTTCTTCCAGCCGGGACCGGTTTGGTTCAACGGATAGAGCGTCGGCTTGGGGACTGAAGGGTCCCGGGTTCGATTCCGGTCAAGGGCATGTCCCCAGTGGGGGGTGTGCATGAGGCAGCTGATCGATGACTCTCTCTCATCGATGTTTCTAACTCTCTATCTCTCTCCCTTCCTCTCTGTATAAAATCAATAAAATATATATTAAAAAAAAATTTCTTCCAAAAAAATCGGACTGTCCCGCCAAAAGCGGGACGCCTGGTCACCTTACCAAACATGGTGAGAAGGACACGTAGACAACATCTGCCCTTACAGAGTCCCCCACGGGGGAGACAGAACGAGCAAACCTCACTCATGTGTAATCAATCCCCTTTGCAAAGACAGTTACAGGATTCAGAATACACTGATGCCTGAGGACAAGGGAAGGTAAGCGGGCAAAAACACACCTTTGCTCGAAGGCTGGAGAATAAGTTCTAAATTGTATAAAAGGACTAACCCAGGAAGATCCTAGAGAAATTAGACTTAACTCAAATATTAAAGAGAGGTACAGTGTCTAGTTCTAGGTGAGGGGGCTCCAGGGTAGAAAAGATGTACAAGTTACTCCTTGTCCTCTTTCTCCACATGGGCTTCTTACTACTCACACATCCAGAGATAGTACATGGTGGACACTGTCTTCTGAAATTCCTGTGGGATCTCCATGGAGATGTCCTGGAAAAAGCAGGGCTGGACGGGGCAGAAAGAAGGCAGAGGGGGCCAATTGTTCTGTCGAGCTGAAAGGCACAAAGAGAGCAGAAGTGAGGCAGAGACCAACGAAGGAGTCACTCCCGCTTCCACTCTGGGTCCTCTATTCTTATCTCTAACCTGGGGTCCAAGGAGATGGAGAGAAATAAAAATAACGAGGATTACTATTTACAACCTTTAAGCACTGCGCCGAGCACTTTGTATGGAGGATCTTGTTTAATATATTTTATTGATTTTGTGCAGAGAGGAAGGGAGAGAGATAGAGAGTTAGAAACATCGATGAGAGAGAGTCATCAATCAGCTGCCTCTTGCACACCCCCTACTGGGGATATGCCCGCAACCAAGGTACATGCCCTAGACCGGAATCGAACCCGGGACCCTTCAGTCCCCAAGCCAGCCAAACCAGTCTTGGCTGGAGGATCTTGTTTAATTCCCACAACAATCCTGTCCAACGGGTACAAAAGCTATTCTCATTTTACAAGTATGGAAACTGAGGCACTCGGCATTAAGCAGCTCGCCTAGGAGCTCGCTATTGTTCATAAGCGATCGCGCCCACATTTCAGACTCACAGTTTGGCTCTGGGGCCCAAGCCCGTAGGTGTTTTGCTCCTCAGAAGCCGTCAGACCCTCCAAGGACCCACTTACTGGCTTTGCCCCCCAGGGCAGCGTGCCGCAGCTCCCGCTCCCTCCGGTCCAGCTCCTCCGCCTTCCTGTTGAGCTCCTCTTGCTTCTTGAGCAGCTCTGCCGTGGCTGCCGCGGCGGAAGCCTGCAGGGCGAGCGGAGAGGCGTGAGTCCTGGGCCCCGGCCGCCCGGCTTCCCAACCACCGCCCGCACCCGCCCGTACCTGGGTGCTGTAGGAGCCATAGTTCTTGGGTTCTGACGGGCTGAGCTTTCTCGAGGACTGCGGGGGAGCTGAGGGCGGAGGCAATGGGGCTGGAGCAGGGGCAGGAGGCTCGTAGGTTGATGGTGGCTGCTGGGTTGAAAAAGACCTTACGGATCATCTGGTCCCTCAGAACAGAGGAAGCTGGTCAGCCTGGATATCTTCTGACTCAGAACTCATTACCTGGGCCGCAGCCCCTCCCACAGTGGTTAGAAGGCTGGTTTTTATGTGGGTCAGAGAACTCCGTTACAATCAGCAGCAGCCCTCATCACCCCTCACATCCAATTCCTTAGCCAGAACGCAAAGCACTCATCTACAGCTACTTCCGTGCCTTTTAAAAACTCTATTTCCTGTCCCAGTGAGACACATCTGTCTAGTTCTTGCCTTCTAAGTGCACACCTAAGCAGAGTGTTTTCTCACCTCCCACGGGCTGCATACTTTGTTTTTTTCAGAGGCCTCCCCACACAGAGCCTTGGTCATGGCCCCGCTAGGCTCTGATTGGATGGATCGCTAGCCCCTGTGTCTCCGGAAGAATTAAGCATCCATGGCCACTCTGTCAGGGAGCTAAGGTCATGGTGCTCGCTTCTTCCTTTGCATGCGGGAAAGGCCCCGGTACCCCGACAGAGCGGACTTATTGGCAGACCCTCCCCTTCCTTGCAGTCAGTCCTGTGCTCTCCAGAATCTCACCTCTCGGGTCTCAAAAGGGTTGTAGACGTCGAGCGTGGCATAGTTCGGGCTCGGGCTCGGCCGGTGCTGGATCACAGCTGGGTCCTGCGGGCAGAGACCAGAGGCTCAGCTCCACCCGATACCTCACAGAGGCCTCTTCAAACTGCCTGTGGCTCCCGGACTGCACCTAGGCAGCCACGCTGTTGTCCCAACATTTTCTCCAAATCCTCCACCCCTCACTGCCCGGACCGGTTTCTTACAGGGACAGGGCCCGCCCCCCAGGGTGCTCGCTGGTCTGGAGGCACCGGCACCCTCACGTGGTGGCCCTTCCAAAGACCAAATGTCCAGAATGGGAAGGCAAGTTAATGCCATCCTCCAGAACCGGGAAGTCAGTCCTGGTGCCCAAAGGAGGCCGGCGCAAGTCACCTGGAAAGGGTTGTCAAGTTCGCTGGGCTCGGCGAACGGGTTTTGGCCGTCTGTGTTTTGAGCCATAGCTGCAACCGCGGACTAGGCCGCCCCCTGCCCTCCACGCCCCTGGGGCGGCACTGGGGGCAGCAGCGACTCTCGGCTCCCTCCGCTCCACTCCGGCCGCCGCTCCGCTGTGCGCCGATTGGCTGGGCCGCCGGAAGTCTCCAGGATCCCGCAGCAGCAGCGGCTACGCCCGCGTCCCGGCTACAGGAAAGGCCAGAAGTGCCACACGTGACACCAGTAACCCAGTGTCTCCAAGTACCACCCCTTACCTCACGTGACGCGGCCCCACCAACGAACTACACCCCCCAGGAGGCTTTGCGTGATAATCCTGCTCAGTACGCCTCCCGAGATGTATGATGGGAGTTTTCCCCGGTGGTGGGAGCCTCTCAGAAGCCCAGTAGAGCAAGTTTTTAACTTGGCTTCTGGCTGGAGGGTGGGGGTCCAGTCTAATGGCTCTAGTAGTTGGACCCCCTTCGCAACCCTCATTATTCCCGACCAAAGGAGTGCCACCTTGCCAAAGTCGGTTTGGCTCAGTGGTAGAGCGTTGGTCTGCGGACTGAAAGGTCCCAGGTTCGATTCCTGTCAAGGTCATGTACATTGGTTGTGGGCACATCCCCGATAGGGAGTGTGCCAGAGGCAGCTGGCCCATGTTTCTCTCTCTCGACGTTTCTAGCTCTCTCTCTCTCTCCCTACCTCTCTGTAAAAAAATAAAAAAATGTTTTGTTTTTTTTAAAGTGCCACCTTATAACCCTCCATTCTAACATGCAAGAAATGTTATCATTCATCATTACCCTCCCCTGAAACAAACCAGATAAACTGGTTGCCTGATTAATTTTAGAGGGTAAGATGCGACTCCCTGCTTACCCAAACTCAGGCTGCCAATCTTCTCATCCCTCCACCCCAGCATTGCCAAACCTCAAACTCCGGGGATGGAGGTCAGATGAAGCACTTCATTTTATTTCACAAAGACTATACAAAATTCGTTATAAAATATGGGCTGGATGCCACCTGGTTACCTCATTCTGCCCCCATCCATCTCATCTGTCAAGGGGCAAGTGAGGTTGGGAAGAGTGTAGAATGGATAGCATTATGTACAAGGCAGGGTACAAGCTCTTTCGTATTTACACTATTTCACATATTCACAGGTATACAGGGAGCCAGGAGGAAGGAGTGGGCTCCGGTTCTGTTCTCTTGTATAAAAAAGCACCAGTGTCCTGGACTGGACACCCACTGCCGCTAGAGAGGCCGCGGGGCCCAGGGTCTGATCGTCACCGACTGATATCCCGACTGGAGTCCCACAACTTGGCAGCGAGTGGTTCAGCCCGGAGGCGGGTGAAGAAAGGATGCTGGAGAGCTTCCCCCAGGGTCAGCCGCTTAGCAGGTTCGTACTCCAGCATGCCTTCAATCAGATCGAAGAGCTGGTGGTGTTCCTCTGCCTCTGAGGTCAGATACCGCTGGTGGTGGAGGGCAGGAGAAAGGTGAGGTTCGATGCCTTACAAGCCCTGCCTTCTACAAGGCCCTGCTTCAGTCTTGGAAGAACAAGGCTCTGCTTACAACCGTTATGAATACTACCTTCACACGACCACACTGTGACGGACTCTGATACTACAGCTTAACCTACCTTCGCGTCATACTCTGAAAGTTCTACCTGTATATTCTGGTCAACCTCGTAAATCTTCTTTCTTTAGCTCCACATTAAAATTTAAGCTTACTTTTTTTTTTTTTTTTACCCAAGGACTCCAGGACCTTGCTTTGATCTCTAATTGGCTCAAGAAGGACATGGCTGTCTCACCTCCTTCCCTCCAAAAAACCAGTCCCTCTTCTCTCTCCTCAATTAACCAAAAATGTCTGCAGTATTCCTCCCCTCTTCCCCAGCTCTGTGCTTGTGAAACGCTTTCCAGAGGCAAAACACCTCAAGAAAGGAGTGGCCTCGGTGGCGGGCGCTGCTGACCCCAGCCTGGCTCACCCGCAGTGGTTTGCAGTTTTCTCGAACGTAGCGCCCGGCTGATGTGTTCTCATCCCAATCCAGGCGACCCCGATAAAAATATTTCTGCTTCCTAGAGGGGAAGGGGAGGTTGAGGAATCAGGAGGTTCCTCTTACTGTGGGATAATCCCCTTAACCCCTATCTGAATAGCTGGGGGAGGGAAGGTGTCAAAGAAAAAAGAAAACGTGATATTGACCATTTGTTGAGAGAAAAGGAAAAGGGTTAAGCCCCTCCCACTCAAAGTTCACCTTGTTTTTCGGGTCATCCGGGAAGGGATGGGACCCAAAATCCTTTCCATCATGGCTAGATGCTCCCTGTTGTCATGGGTCTAGGAAAGGAAGCGAGAACTGAGCATGGGACTGGGAAGGGAATGCTGAGGACCAGCTGCCAGGAAAATAAGCAATGTGGGCGAGTCAGCAGGCAGGTCCTCAGCAGACAGGGAAATCGGGGTGAGAGTCCCAGGCGGTCACAGAATTACTTACTTGGAAGAGGGTGAAGCCAACATAGTACTCAAAGATGATGCAGCCTATGCTCCACACATCACAAGGCTGTGACCAACCCAGCTCTGGGTGGGAAGTGGAGGGAAAGGTGTTATGACGCTTAGGGGGTGCCACCCTCACCACCACGCCTGCTTACACTCGGACATCGTGTCCTTCCCCCTTACCCAGGATGACCTCTGGTGCTCGGTAGTGGCGAGTGGAGACAATAGTGCTATGGTGCTCATGGTCAAAGGTGGCACTGCCAAAGTCTACCACCCGCACAGCCGTGCTCTTCACGCTTCGCTCATCTCGCTTCTAGGAACCAAGCGGGAAAGAATGAACCTCTGCACTCCAGCCCGAGGCCGTGACTGTCCTCTGAAGTGGTTCTAAGCATTAAAAAGTAACTTAGACCTGCTTCTCTGCCCCCACCACACGCCGATCTCGTCTTACAGCCTCCCCATACCTAGCAGGGTACTTTAGGAGTTGAGGAGGATGAGGAATAAGGAATAATTATGGGATAGCATGCAAGTCTCTGTGCATCGAAGGCTACACCCAAGTGACTGGTGTTTTTGTGAAAATGTTAACATGTTGCAGAGAGAGGGAGAGTTTGCTTTGGAGACCTCTATGAACTCTAGTTACTCAGGGAACTGAGCTTTCTTTACAAAGAAGAGAAAGAAGTCTGGAGCAAGAACCTTAAAAGCATTCCCACTAGATTGGGAAGTTATCTGAGGTTCTTTTTTCAAATTTTCTTCCAATTGAAGTCTTCTTAAATCTCTCCCTTTCAATCTCTGCTGGTTTTACTCAGTCAAGAGCCAGACCAAGAGAAAATGTGGGAGCAAGAAGTAAAAGGAGGCCATGAAGGGTTAAGAGAAAAGCAAACGGACACAGCCGCCTGCCCTCACTGGCCAAGGGGAAACCCTATCCATCTTACCTTCTCAAGATTGTAAGTGAGCTCGTAGTCTGAATTCACAAACAAAATATTTTCAGGCTTGAGGTCCGTATGTGTCAGCTTGTTATCGTGGAGGACTGCAGGGGAAAAGGCCAGGTCACGGTCGGTCCTGGCAGCCAGGGCTAACTGGCACCAGCTAACCCTAGGCTTGGTCGCCTAGCTCCAAGATGGTGAGGAGAAGGGTTCAGTTCCTAGGTTTCCTTCTGTTTTACATTCAAATGAAATGCCTGGTCTAAGATGCTCTATGCTTATAAGATATGTAAATAATTCTCAATTGAAGCGTAAGGACAGTTTTCTATAGCTTGTATTTTTGTACTGGCTCTGATATATGTATATCAACTCTGCAAAACTGTTTTGTTACGAACACTCAAGAGGAACCACGTACTAGTCTGGATTCCCTACTTGGCTCCTTGGCTGCGCTACTCTCTGCTTCCACCTGCTTGGCTGGGAATGAAGAGCATCTCGGGTTAGACACATGGAAACCTCTAGCTGGAGTTGACCTTTTGTCTTTGTGCTTGCTGCCTGACTTACACTTCCCAAGGAAAAGAGGTATTTAAGTGCTTTGATTTCAAAGGCTTTGTCTTCCAGCTCCTGCTTGGTTAGATGTGGAGTAAGCCAATCAGTGATGCTGAGGACATCAGTCAAGGAGTTAAGTCAGAAGAGGAGATGTCAACATGACAGTGAATAACGGAAGTGCAGATAATCAAGTTGACTGCTTAGGGGCTTCACCAGTGCACAACTGAGATAGAAGAGGTCCAATGGAGGCAGGGGCTGTCCCAGAGTCCACCTCGGCCCACCCCACTCACACTTGACAGCCTGGCACAGCTGGAAGGCCATGTGGCGCACTTGGTGGATGGGGTAGGGCAGGTAGTTGTTGTCTTTGAGGAAATCGAAGGTGCTAAGGCCCAGAAGCTCAAAGGAGATACACATGTGGCCATGGTAGTCAAACCAGTCAAACATCTGGACACAGAGGCTGGGAAGAGAGATGGGGAAGGGGAATGTCTGATGAGCTCCCTTCTGCTCACCACCCTCCAACAAGGCAAGACTGCATAGCTGTTGATTTCATACACTTGTATCACCAACACAATTCAGTTCCTTTAGGAAATGGTCTTTCTGGTGGACTCAGAGAGATGTACTACCTAGCAAGATTCAAATCATTTTCAAAAATATTACATAGTTAAACTCTAGTTGTGGAGTGCCAGGCTCTTGTGTTGACCTTGAATTGTCAAACTGTCCCTCCTAAATCCAGACCCCACCTCCCATTCCTGAAATTCACTATTAGCCACCATTTGGCCCACGTTTAGACCTATTATCTTCTTATGTGTTCACTCAAAACCCTTGTTACATAGTTGGCTTATAGAACATGTGTGAACAGGAATATTACATATAAATGTTGGTGGCCCCATCAGCATAGTTCCAAGTATTAAAAGCTCAATTAACTTTTTTGACAAAATGTTAATTCTCAGTCTGAGGGTCATTCCCAGGGAAGATCCCTACAGAGGCCACCCTGGGCTGGAGACAAACTGCAGAGCAATTTCACTGCCCTGAAAACAAGGGAGATGAATCAGAGACTATCACAGACCCTCCCTCCCTGCTCTCATGTCCTTCTATCTAAGATGACAAACAGAAGATGAATGGATGAGGTCTGGGACTCCCTGCCTGCCTAGTTTGGGGTGGAGCCTCTCATCTCAGACTCCGCACACACTCCTTTGCTTGCTTACTTCTTGTTGTCAGGGTCCTTCTCATTGATTTTCTCCAGG